GTAATAGCACAAATTATATTGCGCATTTTATGATTGATTAATAATAAAATTGATCGATCGCCGTAACATTATTTTAAACATTTTTATCATTTTTACAACTATAACTAAATTTAAATTATAAATAAAATAATTCAGAATAATCGTTAAATTTCTGAATTGAATGATTTCTTATAAAATCTTAATATCTCAATAGGTCCCACCATTAATCATTAATAAATTATGGGAAAAAATAGTTTTTAGGTACCAGAATCGAGTGGTATAACTATTTTCGGGGTGCGTGTTTTGTAAAAAAGCTATATAAGATAAACATGGAATTCGCATCCATTGTTGAGTGAATTTTAATCGAATTTTGCGTTTCACGTGATTAGTTTTACTTTAAATGGCACAATTTATGTAGTACGCTAGTGCTTTTATTAAATGCTAAAAAATCAATATTTTAACCAAATTTAGGAACAAATATTGTCCTAGAAATATGTACTTTTTCAAATCCTCGTAGGCTCTCAGCCAAATTTGATGGGTTTTATGAGTCCTTTTATGAGCAGACGCATGTATGAGTAACTCGTGTATTGAATTTTCATTGATTTATCTCAAAAGCACTTTGTAAAATAAAAGTGACACTTATTAAATAGTAATTTACTCGACTATACCATTCAATTCTTTAAAAAAAAGACCGAGTACTGAATTGTGGCTGGATATTGTGGGAGTCACATCAGGATAAGTGTTAATCGTACTCAGTGATAATGTCGAAACTAGCTCGACTAGGCTCGAGCGCGATTCAGCCTCGAAACGGAGCGTGAATCGCGCTCGGGCCTCGTCGAGATAGTTTTGACATTATCACTGAGTACGATAAATGATCGAATCGTAGCTTTGATGGTACTGCCAGTTGACAATAGATGGCATGACAAATTTGGGAGGTGATTAGGTAAAGTTAGTCAAGTGAAACATCATCACAGAAAGAGAAAGTAGTAGTATATGACTACAAAAACTAGCTGAAATAAACGTGCATCTGGTGGCCCAGTGGTCTAAAACATCCGACCTCTGCCATCGACGGAGTGGAATAGCCGGGTTCGATTCCTGACTAAACCGTTCCAGAGCGCCGATCAAAAATTTGGTTAAGAAGGGTCTTTCCGTTAAGGGGGAACCTTCTTTTGCATTTTTTCGGCAAAAGTATAGACATTTTTTTAAAGATAATTTTATAATTCATAAAATGAAAAAAAAAAATTATAAAAAATACAGCATTTTTCGTTATACTTACTCTTACAACGCAAACATTTAAATTACAAATTAATGATTTACATGCATGCAAAAACGTAGATTTAAAAGAAAAAAAAAATTAATGAAAATTCAAAACACGGGTTACTCATACTTGTGTCTGCTCATAAAAGGATCCGAAATACATCGCAAAATTCAAATTTTCAAACAAATTTTCTGAAACTTCTACTAACCATTTCTTGTTGAATTTATTATATCTTGTTTAATCATTCAAAAGATAATATTATTCCTATCAAAAGGTACTTTTATACAAATTTTCAAAATTTCTATACTTACAGTATGGAAATGTTGCATGCAATAAGTGCTAAAGAAATCGGGGGTGCGAGGCAATTTGATAAGGCACCAAAAAACATTCTATATGATGGTCCACTAGCTCGTCAAAACTGCGAAAGTAAAGTTGGCTATCCAACGAATTCGAAATTTTGTGAATAACAAATTTTTGAAAAACAGTCCATAAAATTTACTAATTATTTTTCAATGACAAAGCTGAATATTCAAACACAGCTTGTAATAAATGATGGAAGGATTTCAAGTTTTTGTGAATAATTTATAATTTTTACGAATATAGCTGGAAATTATTGCAGGCACATGATTACATCATTCCCAAAGAGGATAAGTGTGCATTTCATCAGTGAAATTATGACAAGGGTCTAATTTTTTCTTAGTTTTTTCTTGGCTAATGTAAATATTTATAGAAACTTATATAGATTTTTGAGTTCAAATTGTTTCTAAAATCTCAATAAAAATCATGTCTATATGATAATCTTATTTTGCACGTCGAGACTGCAAGGCCACTGAAAAATTGAATGAGATATTAATGTGGGACATGAAAAGTATAGGAAAAAAACAGAAGTCAAAGAAAATTTTATATACTGATATATTTATTCAATAAACAACATGAAAAATGTACAAAATCAACAACAGCAGTCATTTAAAACCACCAGCTTCATCCTATTCCCAAAATGGCTTAATTGCTCTTGGTGTCAATGCATCTCTCACTAGGTCCTCTAGCTCCGGGAACTCGTCCCGCACTCGCCGGTAGAATCTCTTCACCACCTCCTCGCACATATGCCTGTCGCAGGCCTCGAACAGCGGCCCCGTCGGAAGTCGCCACAATTTTTCCGACTCGGCCAGATTGAAGTACGTAGCGTACGTGACTCGTTTCTTCGCCACCTCCTCGGGTCGCAGAAACATCAGCTCGTGGAGCGTCAGGTTCGGCCGGACCATCGTCACCTTGGCCATCGTCGCGAATCCCACGCTGCTGTCGAAGTGCAGCATCGCGGCGTTGGCGGACAATCTGTGAACCAATGCGTTCCGGTTGAACAAAGTCGCGATCGTCCTGGCATCGTTGGCCTTTAATCGGTAGCCGTGCTTTTCCAGCCGCTCCAGGCAGGCCAGCACGCCCGAGGCCAGTTTCAGTCTGTGAAGTCCGACTCGGCGCTTGGCGTGCCACTCGAAGCACTGGTCGAAGTGAGTGTAGCTCGGGAACTTGAAGCCGGACAGATCGTCGTCGAGTTGCAGGAGTCTCTCGACCAGATGCGGCTGATGATTCGCCACGGCCCATTCGAGCGGTGTACGGCGCCTCTTGTCCCTGAAGTCGATCTGCACCACACGATCGATTTCGCCGCAGACTCTGAGCAGCGTCTTGGCCAAGTCGTCGGCGGGTAGTCGTCTCCGGCTGATGCAGTGCATGGCGGTGGTTCCCTCGTTGTCGGGCGTGTTGGGATCCGCGCCTCGTCTCAGCAACAGCTCGATCGCGTCCTCGTCGCCGTGGTACAATGCGTAATGCAAAGCAGTTCGTCCTTTCAAGTCCCGGGCGTTGACCGGACAGTAGCCGGCCATGGCGTCGAGAATCTCCTCGATCGATTTGCTGTCGTAATTTCTCCTGCACATCAGGTGCAGTGCTGTCAATCCCATCTCGTCGGTCGCATTCGGCTTAGCGCCTTTCTTCAGCAGCAGCAAGGCCGACTTCTTGTCCCTACGGTTCAGAGCCACCAGCAGAGGTGTCCGACCCCAATCGTCCAAGGCGTCGATATTGATCGACTTGCTAAATTGTTTGTTGACTTTCAAGAACATCTCTACCAGATCGTCGCGGCTTCTCTTGCAAATGTCGTGCAAAGCCGTCTCTCCCTCGGCGTTGGTCAACTGTGGATCGGCGCCTCGCATCAGCAGGAAGTGGATGATCTCCTTCTCGCCCCACTGCGCTACCAAGTGCAGAGGCGTTTCACCCTTTCCCCGCCACGGAAGATTGGAATCTTGGCCGTGGTCGAGAAATTCCTTGACGAATCGCTCACAGCTCTTGAACATGCACGCCACGTGCAAGTGAGTCAAGCCCGACTCGCTCGCGTAGTTCACGTCGAATCTGGGATAGATTCGAAACAGATGGTCGATCGCGAAGCCGAACAGGAGGACGTCGCTCGCCGCGTAATGCAGCGGTGTGGTCCGCAGCAAAATTACCTCACCGTCTTCGTCGAGTTCCGGCTCGTCCTCGTAGCCGGTTTTGATCAAGAATTTGATCACCGTGATAAACGGCCATCGGATGAGGCCAGGTTTCCTCACGCATTTCATGGACTCGATGATGAGCTCGTCGATCTCTCTGGGACGAAAGATCTCTCGGACATCCGGGAGCGGATCTTTCCAATTGAATATCAAAGTATTGAATTTACTGAAAAAAGCTATGCGCTCTTTTCCCGACTCCCAATTGACGGCGCTCTCGCGTAAGCTCTTCAATTGTTCGATATCGCTGCAGTGATACATCGTTGAAACACTTGCACAAAACACACAGACACGATCGTTTATGATATTCAAAAAAATTAAGGATGAATCCTCTTTACCCAAAAATCACTCGTTGCAATGGATGGTGTGTGATCTACCTAATAGCTGTACACGCTACGGCGTCGTAAACTGTACTAATGCATCGGATGAAAGCGTAAAGAACACATGGCCGAAGTCTATAGATGTGAAAGTATGGGCCTCGAGTCTCGACTGCAGCGCCAAGCGCGTAGTAGCGGTATCATGAACTGGGGGAGGTCTACAAATGTGTACGATTGCATGTATTTACGAAGGCACCCACCATAAACAACTGATAAATAAACAATCATTGATAATACAACATTACATTGATAAAACAAGCATTTATGCGAGTTACTCTATAGACAAATAGCTTATTATCTGTAGGGAAACTCTGACTAGCATTGACCGCTCACAGTTCATTTGCCTGACACCATGGGCGCTACATGTCACAAACTCGAGGCCAATAGTCTCGAGCTCGATTGCCGTGCAGACGATACTTTTATAAAAATTTTCAAAATTTCCACGCTTACAGTAAATGAAAAAAAACGATTTTTATGAGTATTCGAAGTATGGCAAGTTTATCTAAAATTAAATTCAAGTCTCAATATTAGTTCACACTCATCAGAATCCGAGAGTGTTTCGCGCTTGAGACTGAGCATGAATTGTGCTCGACTCAGAGCGCGAATGTATCTCTATGCATTCGAGCGTGAAACATGGTCAAAAGTTTTTCCGTGTAGGGTCGTAGGCTTCATCTGCCGGGACAGGGTCGTGAAAATGATCGGGAAAAACGCAAATATACGGCTAAAACAATACTATTTTTATTTTCTCAACGTTACAAATAAAAGGCTTTCTAGTTATACAACTTCATTCTTCCACACTCGTATAGATTTTTGTGCATGGGCTGCTCTTATTCAGATCTTGCTCACTCTTTCGTTATGTCAAAGTCGACCGTAAGCGATTTGATTGAAGAAGTGCTGGCTGCTTTGTGGGAAAAACTACAACCCCTGCATATGCCTAGCCCAACCAGGAAAATTCTGATGGATTCCGCAGAAGAATTTTATTTTCAATGGGACGTACCGCATTGTGTTGCTTCCATTGATGTTTGCCACATTCGCATTAAAAAACCACCTAAATCTAGTTCGAATTATTTCAATTACAAGAAGTTTTTTTCGACACCATTACAAGCTTTAGTAGACGTAGACTGTAAATTTATTAGTGTAGATATTGGTGGATACGGCCATCAACATGACGCTGCAACTTTTAGAGCTAGTTCGCTTTACAGAGCTTTCACAAGTGGTCGACTCAAGTTCCCGGACGACGACTTTTTTCCCGGGTCTCAAGTGATTGCCCCATACTTCATCATTGGAGATGGGGCATATCCCTTGAGCAGGAACCTTGTCAAGCCCCACCGTGGAAATGAGTTGTCAGCAGAGGAAAGATTTTTTAATGAAAGGGTATCGAGGGCGCGGATGACCGTGGAGCGAGCTTTTGCCCTGCTCAAACAAAAATGGAGAATTTTCTACAAACCAATCGAGCAGAGTTTGTATAAAACGAAGCCCATGGTGAAAGCAGCTTCAGTTTTGCACAACACGATAATCGATTTGGAAACTCTCCATTTATATCCGGCTCCGATAGAAAGGGATGCCATCCAAGAACCATATGAACCATTCACTGGCAACGGACACGACCTTCGAGAAAAACTTACCAACTTTTTTTTGAATAATCCTATATAAATGAAATATATATATATATATATTCATGAAATTTTAGGTGAAATATTATGCTTTATTAAAAAATGTATCAATTTTTACTAATCATTTGTTAAAAGTGCTTTATTGAATACTTTATTAAAAAGTAAATTGAACATTTCCAATTTTTTTCATTTATTTTAATGTATGCATTTACATTTAATGTAGAAAAAATTAAATAAATGTATGAAATATTAAAATTAAACAACATAAATCATTTATTTAGATAGGACAAAAGGTTTTTTTACGGAGTTAACATGTCACTCAATCTTCCAACTCACAGGAATGTGAAAAAACGATCTTGTTCAAAGTTTCTGGATTCAAGCGATTTCGAATTTTACTTTTTTGCAATCTTACTTGAGAAAATAAATATTCTGATGAGACCGATGTTGCTAACTCAGCTACATATTTGACGGCCAAAGGGTCTTGCCTTGGAAAAGCTTCTCACTTTTTTTCCCAAAATTTTATGGGATCTTCATCGCGATCGAGCCTCGCCAATTTATAGAATTGGACAAGCTCTGGATGCAATTTATTGTTGTCAATATCTCTTTGAGTAATTAAATTTTAATTTTTCCTTTTCGCAACGCGTAACAAAAATTTCCTCGATACTTGTCGAAAAAATAATTGTGCTATTCGATATATCGAGACTAAAGGCTAAAAAAAGTATCGAGCGATGTTTGGCTCGCTACTTAAAAGTTATCGACACTTTGTAATCAAGAGCCAAGACATCGGATCTCGGTGCACTGTCATCTCGCGGCGCACAAAACGCACTAAACCGAGTTCACGCGCGTTCCGCGTTCCGCGCTCTACAGTCTACTCCCGACTACCGCTGTATACTGAACCTTGCTAAGCCGAGGTTACTCTCGAGACCAACACCAGCATGATGCCGAGCTGCGTGCTGGTATAATGTCGCGGCAAATACCGCGACTATGACCGGAATCAACACCGAAGCTAAAACCGACGCACTCTCGGCTCGGAAATGTGGCGCTGATCGACATGCTCTCAAACTGTGAGCTCGTTATACGGAGGCCTCGTGTGTTGGAGTAGCAGAACCTTCTTAGTGGAATCTCATTCTAAGAAAGCTATTGATTCACTCTTTATAAAATTCTAGCAAAACCCTGGCAGAAGGTGATGATTTTATGAGGGTATCGTAGCATTGCATTTACCTCGGCACATTCTGCTACTGCGAACGCACTATAACATTAATTGAATTTTTATGTTCATTGCACTAGACAATTATGAAAATTCAATGACGATTAAATTCAGACTCGACCGCTAGATAGTGAGTTGCTTTATCAGTAAATCTGCAAGTGACAAAGTCAAATTAATTGTAGAAGTTGAAGCAAAAAAAAATTCTCTAATAACTAAAATTTCTTCATTATTCGCCTTTATAAATAGATTTTTTTTATTTAACAGCTAAAGGTACAGCATCCCAAAAATTCATTTGGAACTTCGTGGGAGTTTGGGCAAGAAAGACTTGTATGTCGGTCCTCTGATAAAGTCTTCTCGTCAGTTTTGGCCAAAGTTAAAAACAAGTTTTTCCCCTGAAATGTGTAAAAGGTTCGTTTGTTCAAGAATGCGAGCATAGAAAACAATTTTAACGTAATGTCTTGATGGAAAATGATTTTTTGAATAAGACCATTTTTTATTATAGACTTGAAAAGGGCGAACAATGCCAAGTTTAAATTATTTTTTTCCAAGGTCATTTGAAGATTACATTAGGAACGAATGGTAAAACGATACTGAAAATGCGTGTGTCCTCGGCAACAGCGCAGAATAAGGAGGGTAAAAATAATGATAATTCCGCGTCTAACGTATTTTTTGACGAGTAATCCAATGGCGCTCAGTGATAAACTCAGTTCTCTTAACATTGTCGTGCAGCAGCGTCAGCTAATTTTGATAATTTTCGATGACTTTTTGTTAAAAGAAATTTTAAATTTGAAGAAAATTACAGAATTTTATTTATTTAGATTCATATACCGATCGTTAAACCACAACAACGGGCTTTGGATATAACCAGACTGAGCCATTATACTCTGTTTCCGCTCTTAAATATTCATCGGGGCTTGAATCACCGGCCTTCTCTGGCCGCAGACGTTGCAGATCGAGCCGACCTGGGCTCGGCAGGCCTCGTCCATCAGGCAGATCACGTTTATCAAGTCTTGATTGTCGAGGCGCCTGACGATCGCGTCGCAGCAGATGGGCGGCAGATGATTGTGCGCGAGCTCGGCCACGGACTCGAGCGCCCAGCGTCGCAAGAATCGTCTCCCCGCCAGTTCGACGATCAGCACGAGACAGAGGAGCGCGTGCTCCTCGGGCACGGCCAGGAAGGTCTCGCGCGCGAACCTCGCGCAGTCCCGGGGGCTCGCGCGCTCCAGCGCCTCCTCGAAGTCCATCTCGAGCAGTTCCGAGAGCGACAGCTGCTCCTCCTCCCTGATCCAGATCTCTCGAGCCGCTCGGGCGAACTCCTCGTCGGCCGCGTACCAATCGGCTTGCCAGAGCGCGAAGTGCTCGAACACGCCCGTGTTGTCAAGGCATCTCGCGACGAAGACAGCCTCGCCGCGCGACAGCTCGTAGCCTCGTACCTGCAGATGATCGAGGACCGCCAGCGCCCGGGTAGCCGTCTCCACCTCGATGTTGTAGCAGTCCCTGGCCATGTGCTGAACCAGGTAGCTTCGCGCTGGAAAGACGAAGCTCGCGAGATCGGCGCCGCGATTCAGCAGCGCCTCGACCAGCTCCGGCTTCGAGAACGCCACGGCCAGCTGCAGCGGCGTCCTGCCCAGATTGTCGCGGGCGTCGACCTCGACCGGCCGATACACCCGCCAGCTGCAGCGGAACAGCAGCTCCGCGAGCTCGACGTCGCTCCTGTGCTGCTGCTCGCCCTCGCCCTCGCTCTTCACGCAGATCACGTGCAGCGGCGTGAATCTCGCCTCGGATTCCATGGCCAGATTGGGATCGGCGCCGGCCAGCAGCAGCGCCTCGGCGACCTCGGCCCGGTCGAAGGCCAGCGCCAGATGAAGCGGCAGGTCGCCCGTGCCCGGCCAGACGCAGTTGGGATTCGCGGGTCGGGGCGGATCGAGGAAGTCGCGCACGACCTCGGCGCAGCCGGCCATGCAGGCCACGTGGAGATGGCTGCAGCCCGAGGCGTCGCGATAGTTGGCGTCGCGGCGGTCGTAGATGGCGAACAGGTCCGCGCAGACGAAGTGGTACTGGAGCTGGGCGGCGTGATGCAGCGGCGTCGTGCGCAGCAGCGTCAGAGGTCGACCCTGCCCGTTCAGATGCAGCCTGTCCCGGTATCCACTGCGAGCCACGAACCGGATGAAGTTTTTTTCCGGACGATACTTGTCGTGGTCCATGGCGACGTCCGCGAGCAGCCACTCGATCTCGTGCGGCTCGAAGATCTCGTGAAAGTTGGGGGGTGGCTCGTCGCGCCAGTGCTCGACGAACGGGTCGATCTGCTGGAGAAATTCGCGTCGCTCCTCGATCATCCTCCAGTTGGTCCTCGCGCGCAGAGTCCTCAAGAATTCGTACTTCGCTTGGTCGCGATCCCTGAACCGATCCCACAGAGCCGCCAGCAGTTGCAAATTTTCTTGGTACTTGCGTTCGGGGTCGTTGTTGGCGCCACCGCTTCCGTCGCTTTCCGCGTCGACTTCGTGCTCGTCCATGTGAACTATCTCGATGGACCGGTGGAAGGGTGCCATGTCTTTTTTACGACAAAAGTACTGGCTGGAATAATCGATCGGGGATCTTGGCTCTCTGTTGGGGCCGAGACGTCGCAACGTGTACTGGACACACACCGTACGATCTGTATCGAATGTAAACACGTGCGCGAAGCTAAATATCACTCGTAACGCGTATGTTGTCGTTTTCTGATTATATACACATTGATTATTTTTATGTGAATTTACGATTACCACGACGGTTCGTTTTTTTTTTTTCTAGTTGGCTGTTAATTTTTAACTATCAAAAAGGGCTTTGAGTAATCACAAGTTCAAATCGTGAGCTTATATTTCTTGAAACTGAGACGACGAAATGAATCCTGACTTTTTTTTTCCTTCCAAAAAGTTAGCGGGGAAATACTATAGACCAAGGACTTGACTCGCAGTGCATACTGACGTTCAGTTTTAGCAGCGTGTGGCACGTGGCTTCCGAATACCTCGATTCCAAATCGTGACACAGATCGCTTCCATGCGCGCAAATTACAATAGGTGGCCAATACACCTTCTTCTTGATATCCGGAAAAAAGCAAGTCGATATGAGAAATTTCACAACAACACGAGCAAGGAACTCGAGTGGATACTGAGCAATTTTTTTGGATTGGCAACGTTTGGTAACTTGGTACTTTTGATAAGCTGATCAATGAGCATACCGAGCACATGGTTTTTTGTCAGAGTAAATATCGAATATATCCATGACTTTGGCAGCAAAATTTTTGATCGACAAGCTGCTTTTTATACCACTGATATTGTTTAATAGTGGTTTCAATCGTTCCTTGTTCATGGATAAAATTTTCTAATTATTATCGTCGGACAAATCTCGTATGAATCTTAGCTCAAAAAGAAATAAATGAAAACTAACAAATTAAAACAGAAAGATGTAAAGTTTCTCTCGAAGATAAAATATATTGCGACCCTTGATACGTCGCATTTTTTTAGGCCACTTATATGAACCTTAAACTTTAACGATTTAACTGCGTGTCTCGAATGCGACGTCTATTGTCGACTCATCGAATCTATTTTGTAGCGAGGCTGGTCAACGTCTTAAGTGCTTTAAGTTAGAGTGATCGAATATTTTCCAAACTTTTGGAATCTTCGCTTCTGGCCCCTCAAAGTGTATATTAAAGGCCATAAAAGAAAAAACTGAAAAATAATATATAATCTATTTTACAATGGTTAACTGGTGAGCCATGAATGGAAAAACGAAGAATAAATGGGCTCCGATTATATAATACGTTCGACGCTTGTCCTCGACACCTTTTGTTCATTTTTTGTCTCGTAAATAAACTGCATCGATTGTCAAATAGAGTCCGACAAAGCATTAAAATCTCTCGGATTCGAAGCTTTACTTCTTCCTTACAATATAAACTTTGCCATACTTGCATAAATACATTTCGTCAATTACACGTCGAAGCTAGACCATAATTTTTCCGCCGGCACTCGTAAATTATCGTATCGATACAGCGTTATATTATGATTCGGTATCGGACGTGACTCGAAGTCTCGAGTCATCGTGCCACACGACGATCGTGCGTACAGCGTAATAATAAATAATATTGGTAAACACTCGCGTCTCGCTGTCTCTGTGCGGCGCGTGTATCGACGTCAGTCGCGAGCGTAGCGCGTATTATCACGAGCGTGCGCGCGGTGCAGCAGCCTCTCCATCGTCTGTGTTTGTGTCAACTATATCGTTACGATTGTCTTTTTTGTTTGTTCTGTTTAATTTCCGTAAAAATGAAGGGTTTTTACAAATTTTCGCTGCTCGTTCTCAGCGCTGGCTGCTGCTGCTTGCTGCACCTGCCCGCTTGCGCGCTGGCCAAGTGCCTCATGCAGTCGGGCAAGATCGGCGTCGACAACTTGGCCTCGAATCTCGTGCTCGGCCCGCTGGTCTACCAGTACGGGCCCGCGTCGGGCGCCGCCGAGTTCCGCTACCCGGAGACGGGCGACCGCTGCATCTATCGCCACGACGGGCCCTGGCTGCACTTCGCCTGTCCGGGCAGCTCCATCGACTACCACATCGGCTCCAAGTTTCTGCGCAGCGAGGCCAGCACGAGCTACCTCTACTACAAGGACAATCCGTACGGGCTGAGGATACACAATCACAGCTTCGACGACGTGCACTTTCAGAGCGACTGCTATCCGGTGTGCCGGCTGGCGCCCGAGCCCCTCATGATCGACGTGTCGCGCGGCCAGAGGCGCAACTTCTCCGTGGGCTACTACGTCAACGCCCTCGACTTTTTGGAGGTGCTGCGCGTGCGCAGGCATCTGGGCAACGACCTGTCGGTGGCCGCCACAGTGGTGCCCGCCCTGGCCGAGGCACCGCGACTGCCCCACCCGCCCAAGTTTCAGCGGGGCGCCATATTCGCCGAGACGAAGATTAAGTTTTCCGAAATTTATAGTCTCGATTATCAGAGAAAGATATTTAAGAACGTTTGGACGAACGATACAGTGATGGATCAATACTTAAATGAGAGTGAGTACGCAGTAAGAACTCATGAGCACCTTTAAGTAATAAATTAAAATAAGTAGAGTCACCTAACCAGTGATTGAAAGCACTTTTTAAAAGAAAATTATTAATTGATAACGACATTATTCATAAACGATGAAATTTTCATGCTATTCTTGGGTATTATTGTTAACTATTCGAATTGTTATCAGGTCCAGAATCGATATAGTTTAACGATAGGAATTAATTTACGAACGCATCGTTCGCTAAGCCGTAAAATATGGTCATTTTGTACATAATCGCTGAAGATCGTTAAAATTTGAAAGATCCATTGTATAAGAATGAGCAGCTCAAAACCTTTTATAACAGATTAATTACCTTTAAAACTGTCATTTATATGTTAAACAATTGCATTTCCAGGGAAAAATCAAGTTTTAATTAGAAAATTTCATTCTTTTTCAACTTTCATTTACTGGTGTGGCGAATAGTTCGCACTTGCCCAGTAAATGAAATACAAATATAAGCATATTTTGATTGGAGTTTTGAACCAATCCTCATCAATGAGGTCTTATAATGTTTGTCAAATGGTTCTTCTCTACTCAAATGAAACAAATTTTTAAAAAAGATCCCTGAAAAATCACCAAAACGTGTCCTATAACATGAAAAATCATAACATGACCATGAAATACTTTAATTATGTCATTTAACACGGGTGCCCTTATTTTAATCATGTCAATATGGCAATAAAGAGATTGTTTTGGATGATAAATTTATGTTTTAGTTTCTTATTCATTCACTGGTAAAGCACGTTTTTTTTTCATTTTCATAAACTTTTATGAATGAAAAACTCAATTGAAAATTCTGTAAAAGTTCTAATAGGTAGAAGAAAGTATGAACTTTGACAAGCTATTGGTTCGATTACCTAAAATTGACTAAAAACATGCATCCGAGCTGCTTAAAAGCAGAATTTTTTTAAACCTTTCAATCACTGGTCGAGTGACTCTATCTAAAAATTTTTCGCCTTGTCGATAAAAGTTTAAAAAAAATTTTAATCATACCTCGGAAATTATAGTACGCGTAATAATTACTTAATTTTTCTCCCTCCCCAGATAATCATTTAGTGATGACGCAGATGATAAGCGACGACGACCTGTACTACATGACCCAGCAGAAGGCGGCCTACTACTACGAGAACACGCTGCCCATGTGGCTGAGCATAGCCCGGGGCAATTGGCGCCTGATCTCGCGACTGATTCGCGAGCTGGCCGACTCGACGGATCGCGCGCTGCGCGTCAAGGTGACGCCCACCGGGGCGCTGCGCATGAACGGCAGCCGCCGCGGCGAGCCCGTGATGATGGGCCGCAGTCTGGCCAGCAGCGAGACCCTCGTGGTGCCCCAGACCGTGGACAAGTACGTGATCGATCCGCAGCTGCCCCAGCGCCGGGGCCTCGTCTATCGCGTGCTGAACGACCCGTGGCCGAGCGAGGACGTGATCGCCCGGGCCCACGAGGGCTGCGACCTCGTCGAGGAGTGCCAGCTGAGGCAGCCTCTGTTCAAGGATCGAGCCAGGGGCTACGTGATCTGCTGCCGAGTCGACATGGCCGACCTGGAGATTTTACCGGACTGATATGTGTGTGTGTTTGTGTGTTTGTGACGTGTGTTTAAACGCGGACCATTTCGTGTGTGTTTTTTTTTTAATCTTATTTTCGTGAAGTTTTAAACGATTGATTGATTGTAACGATTAAGCATTTGTTTCGATAAGTGCCACTGTGATGTACTAATATAATTTTTTATATTGTCGAGTTGTATTTTATGTATGAGTTTAAGTGCGTTATCGAGCACCAACGTGAATACAAACGACTTGGCGAGTTCTTTTTAGTATACAATAACGTCAGCACTCGACTCCTCCTTGATCCTTGAATTAAAGATGTCCTAGATATGTACACTGTGTCGTATATATGTATAAATAAACTAGACGACATTCGTTTGTCTACTTTAACACTGTACATAATCGGTATTGAGTATTTAACGAGCGTCATCTAAATCGTTCTGAAATGTTCTGAAAATTTGAATTTCAACGAGACAAAATACGATACATTGTATATCGTTTCTTTATTATTTTTTTTTACCCCTTTATAGGTAAAAGAAAACCTGCTGCTAATACCTTGGAAAGTTTAGAAATATTTTCTACTTCAAGGAACAATGATGGATAGGAGTTGAATAGGTATTTCATTATAACCACAAAAATTATAGTAGTTTGAAATGCTTTATTATTTTTAACAAAGTTAAATATTATATTACTGCCCCAGAGTTACTAGTGCGAAAATCGCTCTTGTCGCTTTGAGCACTTTCGGGCCGCTGGTTTGAACAAATATTTGTATGCAAAATTTTTTAAAATTGCGCTAGAGTATTTCATGCGAAATTCGAACAAATATCACGATCTTAAGATTTTTAACGAGTATGTACTGAATTTGTATGAGAATTTAGATTACCTTTCATTCTAAATGATTTTTGACTAATTTCACATTCAAAGAATTTGCTGCAAATATGTACTCCGATAACGTGAGTTTTAAGATTAACTTTTTATCCAAATGATTTGTAACAAATCTCGCATTCGAAGTTTCTTATTCTAAGAGTTTGCTACGATTATGTACTGAAGTTATGTGTCTACTAAGATTACCCTTTTCTGAAAAGGTTTTGTGACAAAAGTCACATTCAAAGGGTTTGCTAAGATAATGAACAGCATTTATGTGAGCATTGAGGATACCTTTACGGTAATATGATTTGTTGCAAATCTCACATTTGAAGGGTTCGCTCTGATCATGTACCGAATTGATGTGATTAATGAGGTGATCCTTGCGACTAAATGAATTTTGGCAAATTTCACATTCGAAGGGTTTTCTACGTACATGAACTGCATCTACGTGTATATTGAGATTACTCGTAGATGAAAATGATTTGAGACAAATCTTACATTTTAAAAATTCGCTACGAATATGTATGGCTTTTTTGTGATTTTTGAGGATTTGCAAATACTTAAATGATTGGTGACAAACGTCACATTCGAAGAATTTGCTTCGATCGTGTACTGCAATCATGTGAGATTTAAGGTTAATTTTTTGACTAAATGATTTACAACAAATCTCACATTTGAATGGTTTTTTGCCGGTATGAACTGTCATGTGACGTTTGAGATAACTTTGGTAATCAAATGATTTCTGACATATTGCACATTCATGTGATTTAATATTCTTACGTGTCGAATTAATACGTGTATTTAAAGATGATTTTTCTTGAGACGTGTTTTGACACAAAATATCCTTATCAAATTTTCTTTCTTTTTCAAATACATTCACCTCCTCGAATTCGCCAAGATTTAATCGAGACTTCTCTCGAAATTGATATGTATCATCGTAATCGGCTTCTTCTTCAATTAAAATCGTAGAACTTTTTTCACCCAAGGAACTGGTTTGAGCTTGGTTTTCTGTTTTTACAGCAGCTAGACAGCTCTGATGTTCGGTTTTACAGATGCTTGTCGATAAAGACTTCAGTTCAGGTTTAAAATCTTTGCACTCATACTCTATGAATGTTTCTTCACCTAAATTTTCATGCAACGCCGTAGCCTCGTTGATATTACTTGTCTAAAATTAAAATAATGCAATATTTTTAACGGTGGCAGAGGATAATTAAATTGAATTTACCAAACTTACTGATGATTCATGAAACGACAAATTTTCAGCTTCGCAAGAGTCCACAGAATCGAAATTATCATCCTCATTTGCATCGTACCAAGTATCATTCGTTTCTTGCTTAACCCTGAAGTATGATTAAGTGTAATCGAGTGATCGTTTGAAAAAATATCACGGCACGAGTAAAAAAAAATACCTTATTGTCTCCTCTCTGCTTTCCATCACTCGCTTAATTTTATAAATGTAATCACTTTAAATTTTCACGTTGTGCATTGGAAAAATATTCGAGGTTATATATGCCTCGAGTGTGCCAACACTGTACCTCGATTTCATCGATTTGTAAACAACTTGCTTGCAGCAGGAATTTAGCTCCACACCAGCGACTGTAATACGCGATACTGGTACGTTCCCCCTCTGCCGTCGATCGGTCGTACACAGTAATTTAGCGCAATACTCGCGTGTCATTGGAACTATACACCGAAATCGTAATGAGAATGTCATTAATGTAGGCGCAAAATTTACTTAAACATATGTGAAATAAGTATATGTAGAAAAACATTCGAACAAAAGAGAAATAATTTACTTTTCAAGTAAATTAGTTCTCGAGTCTATTATAGAGCATCTGCGGGCAGAAAGAAAAAATTTGAGATAATAGACGTTCAAGTAAGAACATCTTTCATCGTTATTTCTACTCTAGTAAGAGAAGGAAAGATCCCTACCATTCTGAAGGGACCTCAGCATTCACAAATGTACTGGACTATCGTGAGTACACTACGGTCTACATGGAAAGTTAAAAAAACACATGGCCAGAAGCAAGACGATTAGAAAGCGTCTATGACGGTTAGAAGCGGTAGCTAGTGGGCATTGTAATGTGAGCGGAAACGGGACAAAACATATGTATGCGACTAGACGATCAGTATTTAAAATGGAAAGGCGTCTTTCGTGCCGCATGCACAATCTATATTATGTACAAGTCTGGCACATAATCATCTATCGGGCATACCATTCGAGAGCTAAAACTCGTAAAACTCAACAATTTTCTTGTTCGAAGCGTATTTGATGTGCGTGAACTTTATTAATTAATTTATTTATTTTTGCGATCTTCTTTACCTGGAGCATGGATTTCGCTCTATTTTTTTCAACCAGAGAATTATGAACTCGATATGCGATAAAAAAATAAGTATAGGACGGTAAAATTTCATCCGGACGTAAGATGAAGACAATGAACTTTTAAATTTCTCCGTCATCGTGTGCAAGACGGGAGTTGTTGGTAATGTCGATCACCTCTGCGTTATCGGCGAATAGCTGTAGCCGGCTCATGATGTAGCAACGTAACATGTATTATTTCGCTGCTAAATAAGATAGCTTACTGCTTAATTTTAAATAAATTTTCTTGATGCTTGTCTACCCTACCAGCATGTTTTCAAAGAAATTATTTTTATTAACTCCAAAAAATTCAGTATAATCATGCAAATATCGTGTGGAATAGTTAAAATTTCAAATATTACGTTTACAATTGTTGTACACTTCAACTCGCGTAAAAATCAATCGTGTACTATCCTTGTTTATACAAACTATACCGTGTTATATTTTCTTGATGATCGCTTAACCAACCTGCGTTACTCGCTTTGCTCGTGATGCAAATTAAAGTCAGCTTACACCGCTAGGTGGTGAGTACCATTATTTATAAATCTGCAAGTGGCAAAGTCAAAAAATTGTATAAGACGAAGCAGTGTTATTTCCTTGGTATATTCAGAAATTCTTTTTTTAATCTGAGACCACCGTTCTTGAGCTCGAACACTCGTAGGACTTTGACATTTTGGCAATCGTATGTTTTTTTAAATTTGTGCCAAAGTGTCGAGTCTCCAGCTTCGTTGCGCCGGAAAAAACACGCAGCTCGCACTCACAGCTTAAATTTTTGATATTTTTCGAAAAAAACACTCCGTTTTTCTATTAGCGTCGTCAAAATGGTCTGTGATTTATGACAGAGTCTTAGTCCGTCATTTAAACTCAGACTCCTACGTAGAAAATCGATTTTTCGTACTCAACGAACGAATCAGGAAAAAAAGGCCAAAAAAATACAAGTTTTTTTCCGAGACACACCGTTTTCGAGTTTAAGATTTTGGGAATCGTATTTTTTTTCAAATTTGTGCCCAAGTGTCGAGTCTTCAGCTTCGTTGCGTTGGAAAAAGTGTAACTTGCTCTCGAAGCTGTAATTTTCGTTATTTTTTGAAAAAAATATTCCATTTTTCATTAGTAACTACTTATGTTAGCTTATTCGATGATTGTCCGAATTCGAGGTTGTTCACAAGGAGAGCTTCATGGGTATTTTTTGTCGTATCGCTCATACTTTATCAAACCTTTTTGTTTTGCCATTACGCCGAGATAGAATTAAAGTTCATGCATTCGACATGTCGCCATTCTAACCCCGCTCGATGCATCAGAAGCAATGCACACGCGCTCGCTTTGTTTGTTTACATTTTTGAGCGCATCGATACTTTTGTTGTCATTCGTCAAAACAACTGCCGAGCGTGGATCCTCGCAGGACCTTTCATTTATAGATTTTAGCGTTTTACTTCGTCGATTATCTCGCTTATTATTGAAAATAGAAAAAAATTCCAAAGAAACTTTCGACTCAGAATTTTCTCAGCTACATGGCTATGAAGCGGTGGAAGGTACTTTCCGATCACCCTGTATGTATGACTGTATTATTTCATTTCTATAGTACATGTTATATTAATAAAAACCGCTGCAAATTCATTTGGAAAGAGCTTTATCCTATAAGAAAAAAACTATGTAAAAAATTTAAAAAGTTATTTTATGCATTTATGGCAAATAAGTTATTCCGGCTTCAAAAGTACCACGATCGATTATAAATCCAATTGAATCTGATACTCTTAAATGTCATGTTTTCGAGATTTTGCTGTGCACATTTGAGAACTTAATGTAGTTTACAAATATGTAAACGAAATTGTTCTACAATGCCTGGTTCAAATTATGTTTTCAAGCCTATTAAAGCAAAGATCTTCCTCTAGCAGGAAGCAAAACTAGATCGATAAGATACTTGCTTGATAGGTAGGTATACAATACAAACGTCATGAAATTTATCGCATTTAAAAAATCACGAAATTTTAAACGGGGAAAATTAATATTTTTAATTTTGTATGGATTATATGAATTTAAGAAGGAAGTTTAAACATTAACTTATATTAATTTTCTCAGCTGAAAAATTCGTGATCTTTCAAATGAAATCGATTGCTTGACGTTTGTATCGCGTTGCAATTGTTCAGAAAATTGTTCAGTCAACATAACCAATTTCAACGTTTCAACTTTGTAGCAAACTGTTGCTCGGTTTGTTGTTGTAAACTGCTGAAAAGTTTCAATTTCGTAATGGAGAATTACAATAGAAGTAAGTAATTAATAAATACATATGTTAATTAAATATAATATAATTGGGGTAATGTGTGCGTGGTAATTTTTTTTATTATTATTTTCAAATTGGCGATTCGTGCTTTTTTATATTAAGGTGACTCGTCAGCAACCGCTCGCACTATTTGAAATTAATGATTTTACGCACATTTTGTTGAATAATTACTCATAAGTTAGTTCGGTAGTGACTTGATGCATAAAATATTCGTTTTTGGTTAAGATTTTTCGTTGAATAAAAAGGTTATGTCGTAAAATGTATGAAATTATGATGGCCTACTATAAGAGCCCATGTTAAATTTACTATTTTAAACGGCTTCGTTCTCAAAAATTAGTAATTACTATATTTAATTTTGTATTAATATTTACAGTACATCAAACAGAGTGGGAAGTTATTTTTCAATTCCGGCTACGCGAAGACGACAACAACGGCCTTTGGATAGACGAGTTCGACCTGCCGTCGATCAGTCTTCACGGCAGGTGAATGTATACGTGCAAATATACAGTAAGTATAAAACGAAGCCTCCTAGCAGCAAGATATGAAATAAATTTAATATTAATAATTTTGTAACTTTTTTTCAAATACCAACGCATTCGCTGTGGAGTTCTTCCAGAATAATTTTCTGGAACTTTACGAGAATTTGGAGGCCCTGTTAATTTCGTTCGACGACGTACACTTGTAAGTATCGGAAAAAAAATGAATTGACATTTGGATCCAAATTTCAATAATAAATTTTTTTTTCAGCAAACGTCTCATATAATTTAACATTATTTGTAACAAATATATTTTTTACTGTAGCATAAAGTTAAAGCAAAAAAAATCAAAAGGTAGAAGCTCATTCGATATGAAATAGGTGAATTTCGATGGGTTTTAAACATGGTGTTCATTAGCATACCTATTTGTACATGTCTTGTGTGTTCAGTGCCATGTATATTTTCATTTTATTACAAAAAATTAATTAATTTATATTTAATATATCGTTGAAAGTATTCTCAGACATGTGCCAGTAGTTTTAAAATTCATGATGCTAGAATGAGTATTTGAAAGGTACATTATGATCATTATTTAGTGAGGCGGAATAAAAAATTTTGTATCAAAGCGGTAATCACACCAAGTGATATTAGAAGGAACTTTGATAACATGAGAAAACTGAGAACGAATCATTCATTAATACGCTGAAAATGTTCACTAACAGCCTACGAACTCTGACTTATGCTTGTACCAAAATTTTCACTTTATCACTTGCAGATTTACAACTGTTGAGGTATTCGCCATCTAGCAGCGAAAGCTCAATAAAATAGTACGAGAAAAAGAATGAGTGGCTGTAACGGAGTAACGATGAAAATTAAAATTTTTTGATTTTCATCGTTACTTTGAGAAAAATCTTTTGGGAAAAATCTTTTTAAAAATTTTACAATTTTTTCTTAATTCTCAAGCATGCACAAAGTTTTGACAATTATTAATGTGTGAATTTATTGCATCGCGGCTCAATTAGTACATAATAAAAAAAAAGAAAGAAAATTGACGTTCGTTGCATGGAAATCAGTCGCATTGATCACTCGAGTGTCGTGTCTGGCACAAAATATATATTCAATTCGAAAATAATGCCGAGTCGAAAAGCCGAGTGTCGTTTTGTTTACACTATCGCACGGGCGCGCTCGGCTCGAGAATGCGATGTTTGGGCGAGGATCGCGCGCGTGGTTATTGTATACCAGTGTCGAATCGCGAACCGAGTCGTTGTCACGACGCCGAAGCGATAGTTGCAAAGAAATTACTTTGCATTTAACGCAGCGAGTAATTATCGTGTGAAAAATTGATAAAAAATAGGTTGTACCGTGAGCGACTGTTGGTGTTTGTTTGTACTTGTGTGTGCGCAAAATGTCGTTAATGCACACCATCGAGTACCTCGACTTAGTGCATCAAAGCGACGATGAAAAGCGCAAAATGTCGTTAATGCACACCATCGAGTGCCTCGACTTAGTGCATCAAAGCGACGATGAAAAGCGCATAAGATTAGACTCAATACTGAAGAGTAAGCGTGAAAATGCCAATTATCTTAACCAAGCGAAATTGCAAGTACTGCGTGAAAAGGTCAACTGGGAGACGGAAGCGGAGCGACGTGCTTTTCTCCGTAGTCTTGACTTTTTGATCAGAGATCGGGCGGGTCAACTCCCGAATTTCAAGGACATCTTCAGTCGCGAAGAAATGGATCTTCTTCTCTCGGACGCCCTGAAACCCGACGACTTTCACAATTACGGTTTGGGATCGCGATTTATCAGCTGCGTGCTCGAGGCCGGCTACAAGGACGAGCCCGATCTGGACGAAGCGGGCAAGCCGGTGCTGCGACGCACGACGCCGGTGCATCGCGCACGAAGTCGCGACGTCTTCGGCTGGGAAACGACGATCCGTAAGCTCTTTAAGATATACGACAGGTTCGACGCGAACTACCGGGACGAGTCCGGCTTGACGCACTTTCACGTCGCCTGCGAGCTTGGCCTCCGCGACATCGTGTCGAAATACCTGGACCAAGGACAGGATCCCGATTGCCTGTCTGGAAAATCTGACTCGGTCGATCCGCCGCTACACTTGGCTCTGGCCAATAACGAGCGCAACGTCGTCTCGTTGCTGCTGAGACACGGCGCGGATCCGAACTCGATCAACGAGGCCGGAGAGACGCCTCTGCACGTCATTTGCCGGAGACGATACGACGACGACGACGACGAGCTCCTGAAGATATTCTTCGGGACGAAGGCGAAGCTCGACGTCCGAGACAAGCGAGGGGACACACCGTTGCACCTGGCACTCGTGAACTACAGACTGAAGTTGGTCGAGCTGCTGCTGAGACGGGGCGCCGATCCGAACGTGCCCAACGAGGAGGGATCGACTCCTCTGCACGTCATCTGCAAGAGTCATCGCTTTCATCACTTCATGGAGACGTTGTTCGACGTCTGCGACGAGGTCCGTCGGCCGTTGTGGGTCAACGCTCGGGACGAGTCGGGCCGGACGCCGCTGCACTTGGCTCTGGACGGGGGCGCCGAGGACAAGGTCGAATTGCTGCTGAGGAGAGGACGAGCCGATCCGAACTCGGCCGACGACGACGGATCGACGCCTCTGCACGTCATCTGCACGAGGGGCGACGCCGACTACTTCGCGGAGCTGTTCTTCAGGATCAACGACGAATTGGGACAACGGGTGCGGATCGACTCGGTGGACGGACTCGGCAGGACGCCGCTACAATTGGCCGTGGCGAAGATCTTTCCGGGACTGGTCGAGATTCTATTGGATCGCGGCGTGGATCTGTCCAAATTCGTTTTTCCCACCGAGCGTCAATTCGAAGAGTCTCTGGAGACGTTCGAGGACAAGGAGAAGACGGATATCAAATTCGAAATAGCGTCGGACATGCTAGAGGTCTTGGAGTGCCTCGAAAAAAATGGATACGAGCTGACGCGAAGCGACGCCCTGACGCTCATCAAATTCTTCGTCGAGCACGGACTGTTCGAGATCTCGTCGGACCTCGAGGAGCGTTGGTACGACGCCAAGAGGTTCGCGAAAAAGGCCAAGAAGATCGCGGTGAGATCGAACTTGTCGCTGTACGACCTCGTCCGACTGCGGCCCAAGGAGGCGACGAGACTGCTCACCGTCAGCAGGTACTGCGAGCTCGCCTACTCGGACGAGCTGCGCGAGCTCCGGCCCGAGAGATGTCGCGAGGCCTGCATGACGCGACTGAGCGAGAAGATGTGGAGAGGATTTTTCCGCCGTTGGACGCCGGAATTTTTATTCGCGCTCGCGCGCCGCCGCCTGCCGATACCGTGCTGCGACCTCATCTTCGATCGGCTGACGATGGAGGATTGGTTGAGATTGTGCCTGGCGGCCGAAGAGAAGAGCTGAATCTCGCGATGAAGGTAATTTTGATTTTTTTTTTCGGACCGGAATTAAAAATTTCTTTCGAGTTTTTTAATTAACCTTCTCTCGTTAATTTTTCAGGCGACGAAATTGAGGAACTGTAAAGACTCATCTTTGTTATTGATCTTGAAATATTTTTGTTAACGCGCAAGATTTTTATTACCTGTAAATTTTTAATTTTCGACATGTAGAGTTTGTACGGTGCTAAAAAATAAAATTTTATGAAATAAATCGTATACTCGATGTTTCAAAACTACAGCAATAGATCGGATTCGGATGTTTATTTAAAAGATAAAAACTTCATCCAGCTTATCATTACGTTCAGGATAATGCAAACTATATGATTCAAAATTTTTCATTTTCAGTTCTGTCATCATTCTATTGATGATAAAAAAATTAAATAAAAAATGTACGACCTTTGCATTTACGATTTTTTACGAACTATCGAAATGCGATCTCGACAGCTCAAAAATTGAGAAATTCATTTGTTTTTCGTCGCATAATTGGCACTAGTTAAAAACTTTGAGAGCAAAGGTAATGAGCAATCGAAAGCATCGCCAGTGCTCGTAATTTTACCGATACGATACGAGTGTTTCGTAGTTCGAGGAAACTTTATGTATCGTTGGTTTTGTTTACCGTGTGACGACGGTTCAACGAGAAAGGAAAGTGCCCCCAAGATATCTTCGAAATAGAAGGCGTATGAATGAGAGCTTGGCATACTTACCTGCGTGTTTCAAGGTACGAGACCTGAAATTTCTTTGGCGCTTTTGAGCACTAAAATCATTTTCATAAGGCTAAAAGCAGATTTTTTTTAAACATTTTGATTGTGATCTGACCTCACGATAACATGTCTAAAACGATAATACTACTTTGAGTTTCACCGCTAGAAAGGTTTCTTTTGTCATAAACCTTTTTCCATATACCTGCAAGTTTAAAAGTAAAAATAAATGTATATATGAAAGTCAAAGCAAATTAGTCGAATAAGATTTCTTCGTTATCATTATCTTCATTAAATATTATTTTTCTTACTAAATATGATGATAGCGAATCATACAACAAAATACTTATTACCTGGCGCAGAGGCTACCGATTGTGACCGAAGCAGTTTCTCCAGGACTAGGTCCATCAATTATACTTAGGTTGGGTTGATCTCTGTGTATATACCTAACGTGAATATCTCAAGCGTAAAATTTTGAGTCAGAATCAAAATTATTCACCAGTGGGTCAGAATTGAGTTTTCCATTTTATCAATTATTTTGATGGAAAAAATTTAATAATTTTGATAAAAAAAAGATTTTGATATAATCATAATATTTATCAATTTTCAAAAAAATCCTAATTGAAGCTATAGATGACTCGACGAAATGGAGTACTGACGATGAACACATACTACTGATTTTTAACTACGACCTTGAGCACGCCCAGTTTTACACTATAAATCGATACTTTGAGGATGACATTGGATGTAGAATGAAAATGAAAATTTCCTGTAAAAATTTTGAATGATAATTTTGAATAGAAAGTTTTAATAATAAATTTTAATAAAATTTATGATACATATTCACAAATCATTTTGAATGATTTATTTTCATTAAGTTGAATATTTTCTCAGTAACACAAATACATAAATAAGATATTCTTTAACATCGAAAAAATTTTTAATGTTTTCTTTCTAATTATCTATTCAGATCAATGTACGATTCATCGAGTTTCCATATCCTAAGAACTAATTTGTGAATTCTAATAGGACGACTTTTTTTCAAATGCTCCTTCAACAAATTCAAATCAATTTCTTTCTCTCTCAAGCTGAGTGATTTCAGGTTCTTTGCCGTGTAAAGCCAATCGAACAAATGCTGCATTTCCAAATCGAAGCATCCGCTGATATGAAACTCTTCTAGATCGGGGAAAAATTTCAAGGTGCTCCCTGTCCAATGGTGGATGCTCACCAAACGAAGAGTTTTCAATTTACCTAGTTCGGACAAACGACCGATCTGAGCCTCGGATGTGTCTACGTGAATCAATGTGATCCACTCCAACGAGGAATAATTTTTCAATATAAAATCCATATTCTCATTGGTCAAGAGGCCACTCTCGAGTAGTAATTTTTTCAATTGTGGATCTGTCGGAAGAAAACTGTAGTCGCAAACTGCACCCGTATCGTACATTCTGACATTGAAATGAAGCTCCCGTGCAGTAGTGTAAAATGGTGTTGCTTTTTTCAATTTAAAATCGAACTTGTACAACCCCAAATCATCCAGTTGTGGAAATTGATTCAAATGCTGAAAAAATAAAAGTAACACAAATCATGAAATGAGAAACTTTTTTGATTGTCGTTGAATTAATTCATGTGATTACCTTGATCAATGACTCGGCATCAATGGGTTTTTCAATGCTATATAGACAAGCTATTTGTAATACCCTCAATGTTTTTGGTAAAGATCTTAATGTGGGCAACAAAAGTGAATGCTCTTTTTCAGTTTTTATCGACCAATGAAATTCTTTTAAATTATCAGCGTACGGTATCAAATGGCTGATATGTGCAATTTCGATACGATTACCGTAAGGTTCAATATCGATTTCTTCTAAATTACGGATATTTGCTTTGAACAATTTTTGCACCAAGTTTCGTGAAATTCGAACGTCGTACTCAATACTTTTCAACCTATTATTTTCAGATTCACTCAGTATTTCGAAAATTTGATTCAGGAATTTTGTGAACTCTTTTTTGGTAATCGAGGGAAAACCCTCCGTGTACAAAAAAACATGAGGTATGTACTTCAAATAGGGAAATATTTTTTTTACATTATCCGTGGTTTTTTGTTGCTTTGTGAAGTTGAAAAATTGCATTTTCGAAACATTTTTCCATGCCTCGTGAGAGAGTTGCTCCCATTGACGACAAACTGAAAAACATTAATTTTACAGTTATGATTGTAACAATTGTTAGTTATGCATATTCACATTTATAATAATAAAAATTACAAGACACTAAAATGAGAATAGTACATAACTGATATTTTACCTTGCGCTATGTTTAGAAGATCACTTGGTTCTAAATAGCTAAATATACCCAATAATGAATATTCATCTAATTCGTCAATTGTACAATTACTTGTACTTTGTTGACATTCTTCTTTTGCGGTATGCTCCATATTTCTCATTAATTTATAAAAAACACTCACACTATATACTTTAATTATAATTTAACCAAGAAATAACTGTTTTGTACAAATGCATCCCACCAAGTCGAGATCAAAAACGTATTAGTCGAACTTTTCTCGGACACGTGAGCACGGGTGTTTATCAACAATTGAGAGTAAATTTTGATTCTTAACAGCTGATTCCCCACTATCCGATGTCGAGCCGCATGAGAATCAGAATTCAAAAAATCGGCTCCAACCGAAATGCGGGAAATTTAAATAATGAAAAAAATTTTTAAAAGGTATATGAAAAACTTTTTAATCTTTTTGATAGTGAGTTTGGATTTCGTAGAGAATAAAGACGAGGAAATACACATTCGCTATTTTTTCTAGATGTATTTTACGGCTTATTTTGGCAGAATGAAAATTTAGAAATTTTGCTTCAAGTGCTTTGTAATAGACATCGCGCATGTGAGGCTTTTCACTCCAAGTGTTCTAGCGGGTTCTCTATAATTTCCCTATTTCTGGATCGATTTTCATTATTAAAAAATAGTGATGTAAGAATACTGATATTAATATAAAACTTAAGATAATAATATAAATAATAGGGGTATCAAAAGGTTAAATGTTTCTGCAATCGCGAACAATTGCATAAATGAACTGAACTTGACGCAATGTCGTTGATCTAAACTGAACGTTGTTGTCGTTGATGTCTACATTCGAAATTACTCGATTATTCGAATGATTTTTCAAAGAAATAAAAATTCGGAAATTTAAAAATGCTTTAAAATTATATTTAAGATCATATCATTTTTAAACTTACATAATGAATGAGCTGAAAAAACTCAGTGCCTGCGTTTGAAATTCCAAAATGTATGATAAATTCTGGGCTTGCTGTGGCTGCTTCTTGAATATAAAATATAAAGTATAATATAATATAAAATAGAAACAATCTGCGACGTAGCTTGAACCGCGATAATCATATGAATTAGTACTAGAACAGGGGCGGATCCAGCGGATCGCCCTGATCGCGCGCCCCCCCCCCCCCAAGAACGGCAAGGGAAGAAATGATTTTGAACATTTTTTAAAATATGTAACTTTTATTATATGTAAATTATAAAACAAATACATTTGTCAATTATTTATTATTAACATTTATTATATAAATTAAACCGAGGAAACATAAAATTATAGAACAAAATCGATCCTTTGATTTCTATTTTTCGCAAATCGATCGATTACTTTTTCTATATTTATTTTTACATTCCAATGAATATTCATGAGAGCTAAACCATCCAATCTATCTTCGCTCATGGTTGATCGCAACCAATCTTTTATTCTCCTTAAAGATGAAAAATTTCTTTCCGCACTTCAAGAGCTTATCGGAAGTGTCGCCAAAATTTTTAATTACGTTGCAACAATAGGAAACACTTCGTCATCACAATGATCTAATAATTCTAGTGCACTGCAAGAAGTGATTTTTTTATTCTTGCAGTGCAACCTATAAAATTGTAGCTCCGACGAGAGCATTTTTTTAAAAATGTCTGTCGATTTATTAAATAAATAAGCATATTTATTCGACAGGCGATTCAAAGCTTCTGCACACTCAGATTCGTCGCCATTTGTCGAAAACAAAACGAACAAATCAAACAAATTTAATGTTTCTTCGGGGAAACGAAACTTCAAGTCCTCGATCAAATTATCCAAAAGAGGTATGAAAATAGCTTTTCTATAATAATCCTCTGCGGAATCACATGGGTAATTTGACCGGTTTTTCTGGACATTGGCTAAACGGGGCACTTTAATTTCAGCGTCTATTTCCTCTGTGATGTTCTTTGCTTCCTCAAAAATATTAGAAAAAACTGCCACCGATTTATCACGTTTTCGACGCAAAATTGTCAATGTTTCTTGCAATATATCATTTGCTGATTTCATATTGGTTCAGGGTTTATTGCAAAAAGCGGCTTAATTGTATCGTACACGTCAACAAATTTGCTAAGCACATCATCGAAACAATGAATTCTCCGTTGGAAAGCGAAGATTTTAAAGATTTAGCTTTTGCTGCTGCGGAGATATCTTTCCATTTTGCTACACTTTCGAGAGTCTCGATGATTTTCGAAATGCAGCTTTGGAATTGGATTACTCCATCGTGACGCTCAACCCATCTATAGTCTCGCACAAACCATGAAGTTGATGGCCCATTACATTTTGTAATATGCGTGACCGCTTGGACGATGCCTTGAAAAAAGCAATAACTTCTTTCATGAGCCCAACCGAATTTCTCACTTCTTGCACTGTTGACGATTTACTTATTGATAAATTTAACTTATGTTTATAGCAGGGACAGTACGTCGCATTTTTCGCTTCGTCCAAAACGGTTTTAACAGCTCCACAATCATTTGATGTCATAACTGAACAGCCATCAGTGGTTATTCCAACGCAATAATCTACATTTATGCCCATATTTTTTAACTTTTTCAGTACAATGTGGCCCAAATTTTCACCACTTGCTCTCAATTCCATCGTTTGATCGAAATGTTCATTAATCTCACTAATCTCTGTATGCGCATCTAAAAATCCGATAAAATCTTCGTGAACTGATCCTTTAAAAAATATCGCAAATCAAGGCTGAGTTGAGAAAAATTCGCAATGTCGGTAGTTTCATCAAACATAATGCTGCAGTATTTAGCATCATTCATTTGACTTATGATGCTCGATAGAATTTCATCTCTACAGAAGCGAATTAACTCATTTTACGTTGTATTACTTGCGTATTTCGCACGAGAAGATAAATTTTCTAAGTGTGCTTTGAGATTTGAATCTCCACTGTTCATACGCAGCCTCAATAATTCGTGGAAATTTCCCTCGTTTTTAGAGCTCTCCTTCAATATAGATCCATCATCTCTGTGGCATCGAAAAGAAATGTTTTGCTTTCCAAGAAAAATAATTAATTCTACGATAGGAACTAAGCGTTTCCGGTTTTCTTTTACTTGCTCGAGTCTATCAGAATTGATTTTATTTATAATTGATAACTGTGGGTTATCAATTACTTTTAAAAATTCTTTGGCAGCAACAACCGATTCTCTATGGTACTTGTTCAATTCATGGGTTACAAGATTGCCATCTTTTCCTAGAAGCTTTGCGAATGTAACGAAAGGATCAGTAACTAGTTTACCTACAGGAGTATTTGTATCTTTCTTAAACAAAAAGCAAAATTTGCAAAAAAAAACCTTCTTTTACGTCGGAAAAAACGAGCCAATCAAATTTTCTCAGATATTGATGCCCAGCTCTTTTCTTCTTTTCCTTGCTTTCAATAGGTAGAGTAAGGAAAATTATAATTTTCAGGTGGCGACCAATGGTTCGTCAAAAGATTTTTTTTTAAAAAATCATTAATCTTAGCTCCTACATAATGTCCAATATCTAAAGAGAACGAGGACTTATGTACGTCTAGATCCATCACTCTATCAGCATCTTTCATAACTTCATTTTCTATGACACTTTGTTGTGACTCGTTTTTTCCACTAAACAGGAATAGATAAATGTTTTTATTTGTGAATATGAAATAAAATTATATTTAAGAAAAAATACTCATTTCAAAAATTAACATTATTTATATGTTCCAAGACGTTATTTGCATCATTTATTTCTTGAAGTGAACAAGTCGAATCAATTATTGGTTCTGAATGAATGAACGAATTTGCGCAGCTTTCAGTCGCGATTGAGTCGCATTTTTCTGATACACCTGTTTATATAAAAATATTGACGTCTTTCAATAAACAGAGTATATAATATTATTGTTTAATTTACGAAATTTTTCATTCCTCTCATCCTAGTAAATTCTTAGCTTTAGTTTCATCCTTAATAAAATCGTCTCGTAAACAACTGATAAAATTTCTTAAATATTTGAATAAAGCTATGGATGTATTGAGATCGCTCTCTTTTTTCTCGATTTCGAGACTCATTACGTGAATACGCTGCAAGATATCATGCAGAATGAAAGATATCACGCGAAATGCGGCTTGACAGCTCACTCGTTTTCGAAGAATCTTGCCACGGTTCAAGACAACTGCCGGTCTAACGCGCGCGCAACACTGGTTTTTAGATTCTACGGAAACAAATATCTTTTTCAATGATAAAGCAAAGATGAAGCAGAGGGCTCGAACGAAAAAATTGATACATACATTTACCACGTTAGTTAATTGCGTACATTATTAATTGCGTAAAAATGGTTTAATACTTGAAAAGATTATTGAATATACTAAAAAGATAATATTCGATACTTACATTCGAGTCACTTGACTTTTCATCGTCATTTTCCTGTGATATATCTGGTTCTGCAGCGCAATTGGAAACATTCGATTTGGTGCGAAATTCCGTCATAGGTATTGTTTTTGATATGACTTGATCTTCCTTTTCCTGTTTATTTTTCCTTTTTCGTAATTTTTTTGCACCTGAGTCTTGATTAAAACGTCGAGCTCTCAAAGCTAGAACAAGCATGACAATTTAGAAATTTTCAAAAAATATTGTATGTGTGCAAATAAATTGATATGTATGAAAAGTTTGTTATCCCCACAAACGCCGAGACCACTGCGTGCGTCCCCACTCAAACGACATGCATTGCTGCACTCGTACCCACTTCGCGGCATCAGACAATCAGCGCGTGGTTCGCTGGGTATACAAGCGAGCCACTTTGGCCGACTAGGGAGAGTCGTCTTTCGGCAGCCAGCCAGAGCACATCGACTCTCGTCCTCGCGTTCGCGTCGACGAGCACTCGAGAGTTTTGACCTAGGGACTTAATTCGATAGTGAACTTGGTCAAATTACAAACACTCGCTTTATCATTTCATCACCTTTCCTCACTTGTTGACTTTTCAAACTTCCGACTCGGCCGCCAGGTGGCGCAGCGCCACTGAAAAGTCATGCCTGCAAGAGGAAAGGTCGAGTTCAGAGTACTAGTATAAGTGAACATTACTTGTTAATAAACTGAACATTATTGTTACTTTGTGTTTTTCAAGTTTTTAAACACTTATTCAAAAAATAAAAACTGTAGCTCAATTGGTATACTATGCAAGTCTCAAAGAGCGAACCAATTTGAGCTAAAATTAAAGTACTTTACTATAAGTATTGATGCAAAAGATTGAAATAAAACTTTTATAT